ATTTATATATCGAGCGCAAACTTGAAAATTACAAAATCGCAGAAAGCAAGAACTGTTGTTTTTTTTATCGATTCGACGCCGAGGGAGGAAAAATTGAGGCAAAAAGTACCCGAACTGAACGTGGAATACGATTCGAAAGTAGTACTCGTCTGCGATGTACACAACGCACATTGGCTGGTATAAATTTCATGGCGAGACTATTACGACACGATTCTCGGCTTCGAGGTTTTTTTTTACCTCGAAAAAAAAGTACCTATCTAACTATATATCACCGACATACGTGCACAGAAAGCGAGACTAGAGTAAAAACATAACACACGGATGAAACGGAATGTCGAAGAAGAAGAGAGAAGGTGCAGAGAAAAATAAAAGGAAAAAATAAAAATATTAATCGCGCATTCCTGCACATACACACACACGCAGCAGCAGCAGCAGCAGCAGCAGCAGTTGAGAGTACCGAGCGCAGATATATGGAACGGAAGGTGTGTTTAGTTCGAGTTAAAGTCGGTTAGTTTATACGCATTACACGTGCAGCCGCAGCAGCAGCGCGATATATAGGAGCAGTTCGTCGACGGCGAATGACTATCGTGACCCGCACGGCTTATAACGTCGTGAACTTTGTACGCCGTGCGCTACATATACTGCACAAACACATTAATGTGTTGTAAAAGTGAAACACACACGCATACTTCAAACAACAGTCCGTGTGTCCATCTCTCTGCACGTCGTATCATATCGTGTGTATAAGATAATGGCATGAAAACATTGGGCGAAAAGTCGTGCGAGTGAATGTCGGGGAGATGCGAGACGCGTTTGAACGTGAAAACGGCCTGTTTTTTTTGCCTTTTCTTCCTTTTGTCATTCGAAAGAGACATGTACATTGTGATACACCAAAAATCACAGAAAAAAGATAAGAGAACAGAGAAAAAGAGAACAAAAAGGAAAAACTGGGGCCTAGCACATGGTGTGAAAAACGAGGATTATAATTCTGCGTTCGCAAATTCGCGTCCATATAGCAAGTGTATGCTACAAAATAGCGCTAGAAAGTTGCCAGCAGCAGCACCGCTCGGCGCGTGCTGCACACGGGAGTATACACACCAACTATATATAGGAAATATATGTGTACACAAGGCAGCGCAGGGAACTGCACACAGAGAACCCAAGTTTCAAGGCGCTGAGGACGTAAAAGTGAGAGAGAGAGAGAGAGAAAAAGTAAAGGTATACAGACTGCAGCGGAACTCTCTTACCTTTCCATCGCTTTGCAAGAAAAATTGTTCGGCTGTTGTTGTTGTTGGGCGCGCGATGAACAAAATTATCTAAACAAATCACACGCAGGGCACTCAAAAGAGAGAAAGAGAGAGAGGGAGAGATGGAGAGAAGACACAGCAGGTGTATTTAGTAGTGATGATGTTTTTATCAACGAGTCAAATCGATGTTGTTCTCTCTCTTTTTACAATTTTTCTACTATCAACATTTAACGAACTTTTTTTTATCACACTCTTTCGCCGAAAAAAGATTTACTTTATTATAAACAACCAAAACAATATATCACTTTTTTTTAAATAATATTCTATTATTATTTTTTGTTATTTTAATATATTATATACTGAGCGCACTCTGCACGCGGGGCATGTGTGTGCGCGAAATACACAGACGCGACTGTTTGAGCCAGCAAGCGCGATATTCTGCACAAGGCAGCGGCAGCAGCACTCAGCAGCAGCAGCAGCAGTTGCTATTTCTTTCGCCAGCGTATAGTATAGAGTTTGCACACACACACACACATTACTTGCATATAATATACAGAAAGTGCTGCGCGCAGGTGTGTAAGTGTGTGAGTGAACGTCGTCGTTTCGCATGCTATATATACAGTGTGGAACGTTCGTCCGTGGCGCGTTCCTCAGACGCCCTGCAGAGAGCCGCCTATACATATTCGAACGCACACAAGGAGAAAATCGCGCGCATCGTCTATGCTACATAATAACACTATGTATGCCGATCTATACGTATATGTTGCAGGTACACAAAAATACGTACACAGGCAAGGTAGGATACTTACTACCTACGCTGCGCGCACATAATGTATATTTCGTTATGTACACACACTGTAGATCTTGTACGTCTTTGAGAGGTTATGTCGTTGTCGTCGTAGTCTTCGTCGACGACCAAGTTCCATTCCGTATTCGAGTATATAAAATATGTATAAAACGGCGCTGAAAAATATTCCGCGCGTCAACTCGTTATCTGCTGCTACCTATACTGCTCGTTGTGTGGACGGGGTTATAGGTTCCGTGGATTCGCGTGTCACACGTATATGTGTAAGGTACGAGTAATTGACATTTTGGCAACGATGACGCACGCACGACAAGCAACCAAATAATTATTAAACAAAAGGAAGGCAAAAAAATAGCGAGCACTTACCACTTATAGGATGTAGAGAGTCGGCGTGCGTCGGTCGGCGTTGTACCAACAATTGATCGGCGGAGCTTGAACGGCGACAGATAGATAGATAGATAGAGAGCCGAGTAATTATTTATAAACTAGCACTTGGCAATATGCGTATAGATGCACTTTACTACTATCCTACGTTCATGTGTGTATGTATGTATTGCAATATAAAGAGGCACACGTATTATTACGTACAAGCGCACTAACACACACAGCACAATTGTTGGTGTATACTACACTTACATGTATATTGCTTGAGGAGTATAAGAGAGAGAGAGAGAGAGAGAGAGAGACTACTCCGACACTACTAGTCGAGTTGAGAGAATAGTGGCCAGTAGTCGACGTCTTCGTCGTGTTTCTTGATGATGATTCTCTCTTTATAAATGCACACACAGCTAAAAGCACAGCACAACCCGTCGATGTGGTATATAATCATGCCTATGTGTTATACTCACGAGGATTGCTGCCGCCGACTCAACTGACGGATATTATATACTTACAGGCGAAGAACGAGAAGAGTCTAATTTTTTTTTGCAGAAGACGCGTTGCTTGCTGCTGCTTGGCTGCGATGCCGAGCCACGCAGAAAACGATTTGACTGCAGTTAACGAAATCGCCCCTGCTCAAAGACGACGGTCGTTAGGAAATTTTTTGAAAATTTCGAATGCCCACTTCCAGTTGGCTATCGTCTCGTTCGATTCGCTGTCAACGTATTTTTATGCTGCAGTTTTGTTTATTATAGTGTACTAACTACCGAGCACAACTCTACGTTGTTGCATCGCATGGGTGCATGTGTTTTGTGCACTGTCGGCAACGACAAAAATTAAAAATCGAAAAACGAAAAAAGCTGCAACGTCGATCGCCGCTTGAAGTGTATTATAGTCGATCGAGCTGCACTGCACACCCGGGTCTCTCTCTACTCTTTACTTGACCGAAAAATTGTCCTTTTTTCCGGGCTCACTTTTTATCCTTTATACTTGTTGCTTAATCATTAGTTATCAGCTAGTTATCACATTTTTGACGTTTTAAAATTATATTTGCTTAGTACGAACTGGCACCTACGTTGCTCCTCTAATTTCCTTTGCCGTTGCTTGTATACGATATAAAGCCTGTGCGTTCCAGTTATTTTTTGTTTTTGTATTTAACACAGACTCGCGAACAACAATTTTTTTTCTTTACAAGCACACGCACGCCGATAAACTGCAGCTACTGATTGTATTACAATAATCGTCGTTATCTACAAATTAAGCAACCTTTATTTATTCTTTGTTGTTTGTTGACGTTCGTTGAGAAAATCAGAGCTGAGGAGGCCCAGAAAAGGTTCATTTATTTATTGTATCTCGATGATTGTAGGAGGAAAAAAAGTCTCTCGCTCCATATGATATTTATTATGTGGTAAGTTGTTGACGCGGCGTGCGGCGCGCGCTCTCTGATCGTTCTAAAAAGTCAGCAACCAGAGCCATACATCCAGAGCCAGAGAGCCGCGAGCAGCAGCCCAGTACACAAGTCGTGCGCGCATTATATATGATTGTGTGTATACAGAGCTCAGGCAGCAGCAGCAGCAGCGAATCTTGCCTGGGGATTCTCTTTCTCTGTATACCGCATACTCACTCACACATGCATGCCATACAGCACTGCACACCAAACAAGTACAAAATGATTATGATGATGATGATGATGATGATGCTTTTCGTATAGAGAGACAGAGAGGGAGTGGAATACATTAATTTTTGCCTTTTTTTCTTCTCTTCCTTTTTCATTCGCCTCGAGACTCTTACTCGGAGCAGAGGCTAAGCTCGTCGTTGGGCGAACCGCCGACACCGCCTCGTGTGCGTGTGTAGATATATTATAAAAGCGCCGAGGAACCAGACGCGAGGAGTTGACGATGCTCTCTCCGCGCAATAAATAATCGACGGGAACACACTTTGTTGTTTGTTTATTTTTTTGGCTCGCAGATAAAAACCATTATGTGACACACGCCACGCAGTCGACGTGTCGTCTGTTTTATAAACGAAACCGATGAATTGGGTGTGCGTTTATATTTTATTTTTTTTTTATTTAAAAAAAAAGAAGGCGCCAGAAGAATGCGGCATTCTTTTTCGGAATGTACTTTGACGAAATATCACGAATCGACATCGTGCAATCGGGAAAGCCATTCGTGTACATACCTATCGTGTGTGAATTCTCGTGCATGACATCTTTAACACACGCACGGCGCGTGCTGCATTTATAAAAATCCGCGTCGGTTTCGCAACGGACAGCTCAGCAGCGATACAGAATCGAGTTCGGAGTACCAGAATTCGGAGTCGCGGTTCCGAAACGAAGACCCGCTCTCGCTGCCTAGATTTCGAAACGGGTGGCGACATCTGTTAGCAACGGACGCGACTCGCGGGCTTTTTAGCGCAAAATACGAACATTCGATAGTTCGCGTTATCCCAGCTGATTCGAAAATGTCGAAAATCAAGACCTCCCCAACGCGCCGAAATTCGGCAAGTGTTTGTCGATAGTGAATAGAGATAACGTCGTGCCGCAGTGTTGTAGAATTTCGTCTACCATCGCACTTACGCGAGTCGTGTATCGATACATATAAATCGCGCGTTGTTCCGTGTGCGGATCGCTTACGCGACGTAACGTTTGTTGTTTGTTTTTTCTCCGTCGTCGCTCGATTACATACAGTTAGCGGGTGCACGTATATAAACGATTAAAATCGTCGTCGCGCTAAAAACAAACAAGTGCGGCCGCGCGCGCGCGCGCGACAAAAAAGTAAAGGCAAACAATAATTGGAGCATCCGCGGGCGTAATTGCGGATCCCTTGATAAAGGCGAGAGAGCTGTATCATGCTTATGGTTTGAATGTGTCATACGCACAAGTAGTAGTAGGTAATACGCAAAATAATACAACGCATCTGATCTGACGCACAGTTGTGATTAAAATCATCCCGAGTAGAAGACCAAGACGACGGGTAAGCACAACGATACAAGTGACGATCTAGCGATACGATATATAGTGGCCTTTTTTTGATTGTTTTTTACGCCCACAACAAGGTACTCGAACGTTAAATATTGCGAAGATAATGAGATAATCTGAAAATTTTAATTCATTACACAGGTATGTCTGTGACCGAATATTAATTAAAAGGTATCATCAGCGATGTCCGCGACGCGCGAGCGCGTCGTCGATGCACGCGTTATATCTATACCTCGAGTCGCCTAATAATAATATATCTCTTTTGCTACTGCCGCGTGTCACAACACAATTCGACGATCCGCTGATAATGTAATAATAGAGCCAACCGCTGCCGACGACGTCGTCGTCGCGTCGTGCGCACACACCACCGTCTATATAATTATTATTTTTCGTTGAAATTACGACCGTACCGTTTTAATATTACTTGTATGCATTGTGTCTCGTCGTGCTGCTAAAAGTCACCGCTCTAGCTTTAAGCTGCCTGCTGCTGCTCGGGCGATAACGCGCGATCGCTTGAGCAGTGACGTGTAAACAAACTCCGGCGCCCTAACCTCAAATAAAAAAGCTGCTGCAGACTGTAGTGAGGCCATTTACTTTTGCCGAGCGCTCCGCTAAACTTTTACACTACTATATACTATATAGGCAGCAAAGCAACAGCAGCAGCAGCAGCTCGACTTGCAATTGAAAGAGAGAGAGAGAGAGAGCTGCGATCACTGGAGCTCCGCTGCCTGCGACTCCTATATACAAACATCCGACGTTCTATATATTATGTATGTGAATGTGAATGTGTCTATATATGCGTGTACGTGTACGTAAAGCGCCTTCTTCCACTCCGTTTGTTTTCGTCCAGTGGTTTTTCACATAATAAAGGTTTCGATCTGACGGCTCTCCGAAACACACTGCCTGCTGCCTGCTACTCGCAATCTCTCTCTGACTCAGTCAGTGAGCTCTCGTCGAGCAAAAAAGCGCATCGCTCGCTCATATACTCGCGCGAGATCGTCGCGAGAGAGATCTTTTTCTTCTTTTTTTCTTTATTATTCTTTTCCTCTCCGCGATATACTACTACTACGTGCAGGCTGCTCAATTAATAACACTGTACTATAACATTATCTCGCGTGCGTGCGCTGGTGCTATATACATCGTTAATACATCGATGATACATTCTGTTATACTCGTTTCGTGCTGCTTTGTTCCAGTGATGCACATCATCATCATCATCGCGGACATCGTCAGTGAGTGATAAAGCAAGCAGAGAACAGTGGTACAGCAGCACATATACAGCAGCAGAGGAGAGTGAATCGTGCGCGAGAGAGTAGTGTTGTTTCGTCGTCGTCTTTGACGGCTAATTAGCGAGTGTATATTGCAAGGGGCGGCGCCCGAGTACAACAGCAACAGCACACTGGGCCGAGAGAGAGAGAGAGTGAGAGAGGAGAATAATAAAAATCATATCGACACATTCGGAGTCCGGAATTACATGTACGACGACGACAGCGCGATACAGCGTACAATAATATTACGTATCTACCGAGTCAGCAGCAGCAAGTTCCTCTCAACGCGGCGATCGACCTGCAGGTTTTTTGGTGGCTGAGAACTCGAGCATGTTTGCTTGAATGTCAGCTGTTGCCTGCTGTTTGTTTGGGATATAATAACACGTAAACGCGTACAACACGACGGTGTACAATACGGCGCGTCATGGATGGACGCCAGGTTAATATCTCTATTACTCTTTATTATTATCATTACTGTCACTGGTTGATTGTCGGAACGAATGACGTGTATAATGGCGCGCTTCTTTTTCTTCTGTTCAACAGGTACGAGCTCTCTATGACTTTTCTGGCGAGCCAGGTTCGGCCGAGTTGTCGATAAACGCTGGCGAGATTCTCACCGTTATTAGAGACAACGTCGGCGATGGCTGGTGCGAAGGATACAATCAGTCCAGACAGTCCGGATTGTTTCCAGCTGCTTATGTCAGCGACATAGAGGAGACTTCGAACTCGACGCCAGGTAATTGTTGCAATTGTGCACTACCACTCGAGTATACAGAGAATATGTGAATGAATGAATGTATGATTTGTGACATACTGGCTGCATGACTCATGCAGGATATAGATTAGCAAACATTATTGATTTGTTTGTAATACGTCAATCCAGTAGAATTTTTTCTTTTACAATTCAGGAAGCTCAATCTGATATGTCAGTGATAAGCGATTAACTACTGCTCAAAGATTGAGATAACTTTGAAAGGTCATTGACTCAGTGATTCATATTTGTATAAATGAACCAGCTCCAAAAATTAATGTTTCTTAACAAAGAATGGAAGAATTTATTTTTACACTATTGTTGCAAGATAAAGGAATTGTTAAACACAGATACATCCAAATTGTGTATGATTGTATTTTATGTTGACAATAAGTTTTAAATGTGACATATTTACCAAAATACATTCTGTGATGATTATTAATTTGTTATTGAATGATTTTTCAGCAGCTAATGCAGCAAATACAGCTAACACTGCTGCTAATCAACAGTCACATCAACAAACATATGCGACAGGTGATTACTGGGATGATGACTGGGACGATGATTCAGAAATTGGACAAACTCAAGCTTATGTTCCTCCGGTTCAGCAACAACCTAGTGTGCAATCAACTCACACAACAAGTAGTGCGGAGTATGGCGATAACTTGTCCATGCATACTGTGCACTCGGTGATAGACAAAGCTGTGCCTAATGTACCAAAGAAAAATAATAAATTTAGTGCCCTGGTCAAATCAGGAGAAGAAGGTTTTCTATTAAGTTCTAAATTAGTTATTGTACCAGAGTTGGAAAAAGTGTATATAGAAGAAGTTGAAAGTGGGAGATTTGCATGGGCTTCAACCGGTGAATCATACAGCTGTGTTGTCACTTCACCCAAAAAAGAATCTAAGTTGAAAGGCTTGAAGAGTTTCATTGTTTATCAACTCACGCCTACGGTAATAATATTACCGTATTTTCGTTGTTTCAACGTGCGAAATTTCATAATTCCTAAATACATTTATCTTTCAGTTCAACAACATTCAAGTTTCTCGAAGGTACAAGCACTTTGACTGGTTACACGAACGGTTGGAGGAAAAATTCTGCTTCATTCCCATTCCACCATTGCCAGATAAGCAAATTTCAGGCCGTTACGAAGAGCAATTTATCGAGCATCGACGCACGCAACTTCAAGAATTCGTCGATTACGTATGTCGGCATCCGGTATTATCGAGAAGTCGCGTATGGCAACATTTTATCACGTGCACCGATGAAAAACGCTGGAAAGCGGGAAAACGACAGGCAGAAAAAGACGAGCTATTAGGTGCTACGTATTTCCACGCAGTGCAATGTCCTGACACACCTTTGGACGCTATTAAAATCGAATTTCAAACGGATGCATTTGCTAGGTAATTTTCATAACCGATTTGTTTTTCATCAATTTCACTTAACATAAAGTATTGAATCTAAATTATTCTATTAGGTTCATACAAGGTCTCGATCCGGTGGTTAAAAATTTCATGGCAACAGCAACAGATCAAGCGAAAAAGCATCAAGTTTTGTACAAACGAGAATTTCAAAAAATTGGTCAATGTTTTACGGCTCTTGGCCAAGCTCTTGAGGTTGACGACGGGGGAAGACTGCGCGGGGGTCGACTAAATCAAGCTTTAAAAGATACAGGCGAGGCGTATAACGAAATCGGCAGACTTTACGAAGAGCAACCTAAGTATGATTGGGAGCCATTGGCTGACAAATTTCATATATACCGAGGAATTATTAGCAGTTTTCCTGATGTCGTTGGTATACATAAGGTGAAAAATGACTTTTTCAAGCGTGATATCAATAAAATTGCTCATTACTAATGCTAATTTCATTGCTTTTTTAGAATGCAGTTCAAAAGCGTAAAGATTGCGAGAGGCTGGTAAGCGAGCATAAAATGGAAGCATCTCAACTTCGTGAACTAAATCATCGTACGGACATTATAGCTCGTGCATTGGGTGCCGAAGAGTCTCACTTCCAAACCGAGCGTGAAATACACATAAATCAGACAATCAAGAATCATCTCGTGGAACAGATCAATTTCTATCAAAAGATCGTCAATAAGCTGCAAGAAGCTTTGAACTCTTTTGAGTGATGGTATGAATGCGGCATCAAAGACTTTTATGTTCATATATGTAGATTGCACAACTGTTCACGTCGTATAAAATGCATAAGAATAGAAATAACACACGAAACGATGTTCTAATTCTTCCTGGTACGTTTTATGTTCGTTTTACGTGGGTGAAAACTGCTTATGTACCCTAGATTTTTTTTCACAAACTTGAAATCTTACCGTTTATGGATATACTTATCAGTCACGATGATAACGATTTTAATTGTGCTTTAAATTTTAAAAATTTAGTTGCCGAGCGCTCGATACATAGTCGAACTACCGAAAATTGACAATTTTCAAGAAATCAGCGTGGAATCTTCATAGAGCTAGGCGTAAAGAGATGTAAAATGTCGTAATTTTATATGTTTTTTTTTGCGTGCAAAACAATTTTAATCTTTACACAATAGCTTGTTGAAAAACAATTGTTTATGTCTATAATTGAATATATATTTATGTCTGTTGAAAATGTTTGTCAGAACACGATGTGTAATGTAAAGATAAGTAGTATGGTAAAAAGTTGCAGTATTTTTGCTTCACTTTTTTACTCATCCACACGTTTTATAAAAAAACTCACCTTTTTGAGCTTATATAATGTATATAGATACATATATATATATATTTATACGTGAATGTTTGAATAACGCTAAATTGTTAATGGGACTTGCCTTAATTTTTCTTTATCTTTTTAAAAAAAGTATTTTATATAAAAAAGATTTATTCGCGTTAATTATAATGGTATATTACACATTAATCAACTAATATTGTATTATATCTAAAATTTTGCAATGTTTTCTACATGTGAAATGAAAACTATGAAATATTAAGTATAGAATAATTTTTACCGATCGCATTGCACATTGCATTTTTATCCACGCGAATTTAAACATAAACAAAGATTGTAATTATGACGTTCAAAGCGATCTGCGTCGATCGTAAATAAATATTGTGTATATTTGCTTTTATAAATCATGCGTATATTGATGTCAAGGAGTTTTTTCAAAGATCAATTTTTTTATAAATCATGAGTTTTCTATTTTAGATTTTTATGACTACTAAAACTTATTTTATTGTCGATTACATACACCGTATAAACTTTACAATCAAAATTTTACTATCAAACCTGGGTACGTTAGTCATTATTCGCTGTAGTTCGTTCAATTTTGTAAAATATCCTTAAAACAAATGTGATCGTATTTGTATCCTCAACAATGTATTGCTACACGAATCAAATCTTTGATATCCACGTTTGTAATGCTGAAGACAATGTAAATCACAAAAACGATTATTAATATTAAATCATTAATGCTCTGCTACTGAGTTTAAAAAACAAATATTTGTTATTTTTTTAAATTTTGCCCATAATTAAGTGACTTATCGATTTCGAATGAGTGGTAGGAATGAATGACAAAGGTATTAATTAACTTCTCATTTAGTTAAACATGGACTACATCGAATTTATTTCTTATTATTATTTACATGTAATATATCGATATAATTCATAAATAATTAATAATAATTATTTATAAGTTTCACCTCACTCTACGTATATCTTTATTTTTTGTTCATTTTGTTTTCGTATAAAAACTATATGTCCCCCGAATAGTTTAGGTTTTATACTCTCGTGTGGCTGGTTTCATTTTTTGTTTTGTATATCATCAACGCCTCACACACGCATGTGTACAGTAAAATTGGTTTTTAAGAAGCACGTACACTTACAACAATTTTTTTTTTTCTCTTTTTTCTTAATGTTATAATTTTTTTTTGTCATATCTTCTACATTTCAATGAGACACCCAAAAAATTCTGCGCGTAAAAATATGTTATAATACACGGAACAACATTGGAATGTCAGCAGTTTGACAGCATTATTTAACGTATACAAGCAATTATGTAATAAAATAATATATAAATCTTTCGTAACAATAATATTCTGTGCGATAATCATTACAATAATAATAATAATAAAAATAATTTTTCACTTCATTCCGTTAAACTCTACGGTTGCTCCAAATCGGCATTTATCATCCTCACATACAAACGATTAACGCTAATTTTTTTTTCTATATCGACTCGACTAAAAAAAACCATTAATAGGCTACGGATGGATAAAATGACTTTCGGCATAATGGAGTCACTTTCGAAAAAAGCCCAAAAAAATATAAACACCTAAAACAAAACGTCAAGCCTATGATATAATAATGAGTCAATAACGCATTGTATTCTCTGGCAACGCACACTTACAATCGCCATCATTATTGTCCGGACTAATCACAAATCAATTCTTTTCGTGCGCTTTGCAAAATATTTCCACGAAATATATTATACTATTATGTCGCGTCATTTAAGAAGCATACCAAAATGTTCATCATATATGTTGTCTGTACCTATTTAATGTAACGTTAACAATTGTTAATTAATGTGTATTATGGACTTCACAATTATTTTCTGCCCTAACTATAATTCGCGACGTTTTACGATCTGCAGTAATAATAATAAAGTGGAAACTCATATAATCGAGCTTTTAATGCTCGAACGATCGACATGAATCTGTACACAAATAATTAATCGTTAACTTAAAAACGTCTGTAACATATATTATGTACAAGTTTATTTTATATTATGTATTTTGAGTGTATTAGGTTTTCATGTGTGTGCGTGGGTGTGGGTGTGTATGTGTGTCTGTATGAGTAACATAATATAATGTGGCAATGATATTCCCGCAACAAAAATCATTCTGAACTCAACTTCAAGTTCGATATATAATCAATATAAGCACACACCAGCGCCGTATATATATACGCTCTTTTTTCATCCATTTTATTAGACTATACACATATATTATTTTACATAGACAATAAATACATAATATATTTAAGATATATTATTCATCAGTCTGAATATATACGTTTTCGACCTTGCTCGCGTCGGGTGTCGCTCATCTTCCGGGTGACACTCCGCAATTTACTCTTCTTTTTTTCTACCTTACGAAAACTGCCACGTACATACCTTTTAGTTATTATTATTTTTTTTTAACAAGCTTTCAATTATCATTGAGTTAGGATACTTTATTTTCGGCTCACCGTGCGCTGCTTTTACGGCTCTCTTAATTGTCATTTTAATTTTTGTTTTTTCCGTTTCGTTTTGTTTCTGCTTTCTGCATTGCCGTCAGGTGCTAAAAATTGCTTGAAAGTAAACTTCTCAATAATTCAAGTGCGCCGAAATACGTTATCGTTTTTTTTCGCTGCTGCTTTTTGATTGTTACTTTCTATTATAGATATTTTCTCGCGTTTCCACAATTTTTTTTTTCGTCACGATTGCTGATAGAAATACTAGATTTTTTTGTTTTGTTTTTTACCCAACGAAAAACCATTCTCGTTCTCGCGTCGAGAGGGTTTCTCTGTTCTGGAAATGATTGAATTTTTACAATAGCTCGCGCGCGTAGTTGTACCCGCCACCCTTACGTATTCATCAATTTTTCACGTACTCCTCCTCATGCAATATTTTTTTTCTTTCAGTTATATATTTATTTATTTATTTATTTTTTTTTCATAAAAAATAATATCGCTTATTCGTTGCTCGTTTTTTTATGTATGTCACAATATTCAGTAATATATTTATATATTTTTATCATTATTTATCAAATAGTCTTTTTACGTTATCCACTGACGCACATATATTTGTGTACACACATTGAATAACTTCCATAAATTACAATATAGATCTGTTTTTTTTTTTCATTGGAACCGGCATTAAGTACGTTCTACATACACAATTACATCTAAAGTACAACATGAATGTTTCATTTATATTTATAATATATGTTTTTATTCGTAAAAATATATTTAAGCTAGTTGGTCGTTTAGCAATTGTTTTCTCTTCGATTAATAATGTATATCAACACTTTTTAGTAATGGCACATCACCCGAGCAGAAGAAGATGCAAATGTAATAAGAGTAAGAAAAGAATGAAAAGACAAAGTCACGGGTTTTTTTTCCTATTTTTTTTTCTTTTTTTTTCATTAAAAGTAGCGCAAAGAGAAGAATTACTGTTATAGCATTGATTTAATGTGTGACATGGTAAAAGATTTTTTTTTATACTAGTTACAAGAGATTTTTCTGAGTGGAAGAGTGAATTCGAAAAGATGAAGTTTCAAGACGACATGTTAATGTCGTGTAAATTTTTACTCTGTCTTTATAGTTTGTAAAAAGGATTTCATTTTCCAGAAGTGGAAATTCCTGAAAGTCAATTGAAAAATAAATCGATACAACAATCATTTAAGTTTTCTCTTTCTCTTAAGACGTCATATAGACTTAACGGTATGCATAATTAAGCCATCGCGTATAGCCTCGCAATATCGAGGAGCGCGTGTCGCGCTCCACCTGGCAAGTATGACAGGAACTAAGTGACGACACGCCGCTACTCATATACAGCCCATTACTTTCCGCCAACTTTCTTGTCGCTCTAATTTGAATTTGATAACAGATATCGAGAATCTGATAAGCCCATTAGATTCCTTGGAAAAAATCCTATCGATATGAGGTATTCAGATTTTCGAAAAGTTCACGACTTTTGATAAAAATAACATTATTAAAGTGAGAAGCATGAAAAATGTTCACACCTACAATATGTTCACACCTAAAAAGTGTTCACACCTCATATATACGCATTGCAAGTGTGTGTTGTGTATGTAAGCGCTGTCGCGTATATGTCGCATATATCGCAGATTCTCCGAGAAGTGGCGGTGTTTTCGCCCGAATATCATCCCGGGCGACTCGCTCGACGCAATAGGTCGAGATCTGTCCTCGACGATGACTTTCTCCGGGAAGTCGTGGTGTATTCACACGAATATCGACCAGGGTGTCTCGCTCGACGCACTAGGTCGTGATCTGTACTAGACGATGACTTTCTCTGGGAAGTCGAGGTGTTTTCGCACTAATTTTGTCCTGGGTGGCTCGCTGTACCCAACAAGTCGGATTGCAGACTGAACGATAATTTTCCCCGGGAAATCGCGATGTTATCGTACGGAAATCACCTATATAAGTCCGCTCGATGCACTAGGTTGGGATCCGGACTCGACGATGACCTTCTTCGAGAAATCGCGATGTTTTCGCATGCATATCATTGTCAATACGTATTTTTCTAATTTTCTATGTGGGTTATAAGCATACCTATATAAATAGTATAATAATCTGAAATCCCATGAACTCTTGTTTTTTAAAAGAAAATATATGATCAAGTATGTCCGTCTCATACTCATAATTTTGTGCTACCTTATGTTTGTAAACTATTGAATTGGTAATCTTAAGTCGTAAATGACAATTAATTTTGTGGCTATGATATATTTGAAATCAAATTAATTCTGTCAAGTATTGAACAAACTAACAATTTTTTGTTTTAAACTGTTATCATACTGAAATGTTTACAATAGAATAATTCATAACCGTTGTAATACTTTTTTCAAAAGTTTAAATAGGGGCAAGTATGACAGTCTGATCCTTATAATTTTAATCTAACTTTAAAATTCTCTCTCTCATTTATGAAACTTTTAATTTCAAATTGTCAATGATCAACTACTTAGCTATGATGATAATGAGATCCAATACATTCCGACAAGTATTCAAGCAAACTAACATTTTTATTACTTAAACGAAAACCCCAATGCAAAGTATAGTTGTTGTTAAAATTTATAGTAATTATTATTCAATTATATACAGTGATAAGCGAAATGATATACTCTCATGCGATCATGCAAAGGTAACAGTGGTATGTAAAAAGACCTTATTATGACTCTACTTGCCCGGCCGTCTCGATCGAATCCGATGCGAATAATACAATTTTACATACCGAAAGCAAACTATATAATATACAAGAATTTTCTAAACTTTAAGTTAAAGTTTTTACTTCAATGGTGTATAATAACATAATCTTATATTTCAAGTTCTTCCTTTACATTAATGACATTTAGAAACTTTTTATGAATTGACGGAAGAATGATTCTGAGAAAAAACGGTATATCAAAACGGAAAAAAGAATACAGGGTGATTACTTAATATATTGTCTTCAATTGAGTAAATTTTTTGCGTGTTTTCGTATAGATTAGAACAGTAAATGCATTGTAGATACATTAAATGAAAGACTACTATTATATAATACATGACGATTGCGAACGTCTTGAATTCGATCGAGACGGCCGGGCAAGTAGATTCATAATAAGGTCTTTTTACATACCACTGTTACCTTTGCATGATCGCATGAGAGTATATCATTTCGCTTATCACTGTATATAATTGAATAATAATTACTATAAATTTTAACAACAACTATACTTTGCATTGTGGTTTTCGTTTAAGTAATAAAAATGTTAGTTTGCTTGAATACTTGTCGGAATGTATTGGATCTCATTATCATCATAGCTAAGTAGTTGATCATTGACAATTTGAAATTAAAAGTTTCATAAATGAGAGAGAGAATTTTGGAAATATACATCGACGTCTATGTAACAATTGTTTTTTTTTCTATTTTCTTTTTCTATCCCAGAAGCTATATCGAAGGAACGATGAGGTTTCCTCATGTTCAACTTAAGTTACCGCTTTTTAATCTATTCAAAAAGTTCAGGATAGAAACTTTCGTTAAGGGATTTTTGCTCTTTCTTGAAACATTCACAAAGTAGTAGTAGTAGTAGTAGTAGTAATAGTAGTAGTAGTAGTTAGTTAGTTCGTAGACGCGCAGCATTTCAGTAAAAAGTATTTGTATTCATTTATCCATAGTTTTTATCATTTATCATCATTCCCTAAAAATATTGCGACGATGAATATAGATAGCTTAATTTAATCATTATCATAGCTTATACTTTGATGTGTTTTGGCTCATACTGGGCGCAGAAGAGCATTCACGCGGATAATCTCTAGAAATCTCGCTCTGATTTTGTGATAAAAAGTGAAGAGTCGATGTAACTGTAGGATAATCCATATCTGTGATCCCAAGTATGTAATTGATCATCGAATTGCCCCTCTTACCTTTCTCTCCTTCCCATATAGAGTTACTATACGCATTAGCTCCGATCTCTCGTTACTCAAATAAATATTCCAAAATACCACGTGTTATTCTGTTATTGTACGTAAGAGCGAACATTTATTCAAATTATAAAATATGTTTCATCGAATCGTCGGTCGGATTTTATATATAATATATACAAATTACAAAGATTGTTTATCAACTGTCAAAATACACGTAAATACGTACAACGAAAAGTACGTACACGCGAAAGCTCTTACGATCGTCATCCCTCCGCATGCGCTATCGTTGTTGTCCTCGTAACAACGTCAAAAATCACACAAAATCATTAAAAGTACTCGTCCGTGAGCACCTTGACGGCCACCTCGGGCCTCAAGCTGTCGAAGTACTTCCTCACCAGCGCCCGGCAGATGTAGCCCTTGATCGTCGGCCCGATCGCCGTGAACACCCGCGAGAACTTCTCCTCGGTGTCGTCGAGCAGCAGCGCCTGCCAGCCCGTCTCCTCGAGCAGCGGGTAGGCCTTGTCCGGGGCGCAGCTGCACAGATCCAGCAGCGACGCCGACTGGCTAATCATCGTCCGCCTGGCTCGCTTGATCTCCTCGAGAATGGCCGAGTCCTGGATCTTCCACATGTCGAATTTCGTGGCTCGCGCCGCCTGCGTCAGGTCCAGCTCGTCCTCGCTGCTCGAGTTGTCGTCGCTGCTCTCCTCGAGATTCTGCATGATCTCGATCATGGCGTCCTTGGCGCGCTCGTTCATGTACATCTTGCCGAAGTCGACGGCCTTTAGGTGGTTGCTGAGGGCGCCGATCACCGGGCCGACCTCGTTGTCGAAGGTCGTCAGTATCGAGCAGTGGTTGCGTATTATCGACGCGTTCGACGCTGCTCCGGATCGTATTTTTCGGAAATTAATCATCGCCAAATCACAAATTTTCCTCGTTATCAATTTTTACCTAGAGCTATGACGTAGGCCGCGTTGAAGTGCGCCGTCGAGGGTGGGAAGCCGAGCAGGAACCTCAAGACCCAGGCCTCGTGCTTCTCCTCCATCACGTACTTGTTCTGCTTCAGCAAGTCCACGATCTCCAGCAGATTCTGCGTCAGCTCGAGATTCCTCAGGTGCTCGTTGGCCGGATCCAGAAAACCGCCCTCGAAGGTGACCGTGTGCGGGTCGGCGCCCAGCTTCAGCAGCGCCAGCACCCCGTCCAGATTGCAGGTGGACACGGCCAAGCTCAGCGGGCTCTCGCCCGCGTAGTCCTTGACGTTGACGTCGGCCCGGTAGTCGCGCACGAGCAGCTCCAGCACCGCGTAGACCTCGGGCGTGCGACGGGGCAGATCGAACACCTTGCCGTGGCACTTGCCCAGGTAGCGTCGACGCAGCACGTAGTGCAGTATCGTCTCGCCGCTCTTGCTGCGATAGTGCACGTCGGCGCCGGCCTCGAGGAGCAGCTTGAGCACCGCGAGCTGCAGATCCGCGGCGAGGATGCCGTGACGATAGAGATTCTGCATGGGCGAGACGCCCTCGTTGTTCATGAAGTTGACGTTGGCCTGGTGGCGCAGGAAGGTGCGCACCAGCTCCAGATAGACGGCCTTGTCGGCCTCGGTGGCGCGCGAGCTGCTGCAGAACTGCCGGCAGTAGCTGCTCAGCAGGGTGGTGCCGTTGGCGTCGGCCAGATTGGGACGGGCGCCGCTCGACAGGAGCAGCTCGAGCACCCGTGCGTCGGGCCTGGACTTGAGCATGACCCCGAGGATGCTGTCGACGTCCTCGTGGACGCCGCGCACGAGCAGGCTCTCGGCCAGAGCCGCGTGGCCCATCTTGCAGGCCGCCTGGAAGTGCGAGAAGTCCGCGTCGTCCGGGTCCACGTAGTTGATGTGGTTGTCGTAGATCTGGGTGAGCAGGTCGAAGCTCACGGGCAGATTCAACCTCGCCGCGACGTGTATCGCCGTTCTGACCTTCTCGGGCAGGCCGTTGCTGATCCGCTTGAAGCGACGCACGAAGAACTTGATGATTCGTGTCTCCTGCTCCTCGCAGGCTCGCACGAGTATCCAGTTGAGCTCGAGGTCGCTCAGATCGTCGAGTTTCACGGCCAAGCCGTAGTCGATGAGATTCGGCTCCGGCTCGACTTTTTTGAACAGCTCCTCGTAGACGACTTCCTTGCTTTCCTTCATTTTTTACTTCGGACTTTTTTCTCGTCAACTTTTTCGACCGTTACGTTATATATAGTATATGCGTATTACTTCGCTACGGGCCAATTACTCGCCAGACTGTGCGAGTGACGAGTGACAAACTTTTCGTATTTCGAGGGCAGCGCAAGACGACGATATTGAAAATATTTACATTCGAGAGTCGCTTGGGGTCCTTCCCACCGAGCTGTTTCAATACGAGCTTTTCTCTCGACTCGCGCGGCCAGTTAAACTTTGACGCGAGTGGCGCCAATTTTCCTTCGTATACGCGATGTCGATCAGCTATACGAACAGTTTCTTGAGTAATTTCATTTGTGGGAAATCAGTCGAGCTTTGATAATAAAAGGAAAAAAATATTCACCACTTCGCTCGGTCGTAACTCAAATATAGTTTTAGATTCTTAATCAAAATCTGAGAGATTTCTAGAGATTTCTGATGCTTTTTCAGCACGATGTATGTATCATTTGCATTTGAGAAACAAAAATTATCAGCGATGAACCTTTCGACTTATGTACAAGTAAAATCGATCATAAACAGGTGCATACATCAATAGTGTACTTAAAAACTAATAAAGTTGAATGATAAAAAGAAAAACAACTGCGAGCAATCTAATTTTTTTCTTTGGATTTAAATGGACGTTTCTCGCTGTCGCAGTTGATTGTCGAAGAACCGAAAATAGAAACGAAAATTACAATTTTCCGCTGACTTTGAAACAATTATCTTTTTTTTTTGTTCTAACATTTTTGTTTATGTTTAATCATATATCATGTTGATGTTCCTTACCATTACAGTGAAAAGATAGATGTAGTACTTCAGTTTTTTTTCTAGCGTAGCGTAGTATAGTTATAGCATTATTAGAAAGAGTAAGAAGAAGTAGTTTTTGTTTTATTTTTTTGATATATCGATCGTTTTAGACACTTTGAATATATTTACCCGCGCGAGTTATTACGCGCGATTTATAATATAGAAAAAGGAGACCAGTATAGTTTATACCGCGCGATAGAAGAAGATAACGAATCCAAGAGTGAGAGACGCAGACGAAACAGGATACACAACCTCCGAAGTGTATTCGCGAAAATGTTCAAGCTCGTGATAAATAGCTTTGAAGTATAGCTCTTTTAGACTATACATTCATTATATCCGTAAGATTTTTTTTCGTCTCTACTACATCATCATCATCATTTATTTTAATATTTAACAATATAGTCTTTTTTTATGCAATGAGTAGTCGATAATTGTTAATATACATGTAATAGTTAGTTACTTGGGAACACATTTTTAGCCATCGCGCACAGCGCGCGCGCAAGTACATATACATCTCGTAATAATTAATATAATATAATTTACGCATTTTTTTTGTTCATATTTTTGTTTGTTTGTTTGTTTGTTTGTCCAATAAAGTATTCTTTTTTACGTTATTAATAATAATATATGTTTCTGTTCGTGCCGCGAATCGTTAAATTCACGGGCGTTTTAATTAATCTTCGCTCTCTATTTTATCATCATCTCTCTCTCGGCTTAAAAACTATAACACTGCACACACGTGGTATCGTGTCGCGCCTCGTGCTACTACATACATACACGAGTTCGAATGGAGAGAAAAAAAAGTGACGATAAACTAATGATTTGTTGTTGTTGTTGTCAAGCTCTCTTTTGCTCTGCAAATTTTCGATAATAAGCACGTATATTATATGCACATCGATGAATATCACAATAAACGCACGAGCTCGGGCAGAGAAGTCGCGGACAAGTTACATATAATACGTTGTTGTTATATTAACGTTACGCACAAGAAGTAGTTTTTTTTTGTTGCTTCTTTTCTCTTTTTTTCATTTTTTATCGTTGCGCGCCCGACGAGAGTAATAGATGCGGGCTATGTACACATAAGCGAGAGATGTAAAAATTGCATACGCACGCTTGTTAATACTCAGATTCGAAACGGTGTGTAATTACGCGTACATACATATGCATGTGTTTATACGTTTTAAAAAGTCGAGCTATTTCGAGGATTCTTTTTTTATTTTATTTTTTTTGTTGTTGCAAAGTTTCGTACTTATAGATTTTTCGTCCGTGTTTTGTTGCAGTTTACCCAAGCGCGTATGAAAAATGCACATCGATGCGAGGGAGGAAAGGTAAATGAAAAAAAAAAAAAAAATTAAAAAAATATGGATTCTGTAAAAGCTTCATTTATCTTTTTTTTTTTAATCTTTCTCTCTCTCTCTTTGTTTATTATATGTTTGCTGGCAGGATTTACATGTTTATCCGCGTCGTAATTTAGCTAGACAATGTAACCTTTAACACGTGCTTTTATATTTATCGCTCGCGAAACGTGAATTAGCAAAGATTATTGGAGAGAAAATAAATTATTTATATTTATCATTACTATTATTATTATTTTTTCTTCAAAAAATGCTCGATAATCATCGAAAAGAAAATGGCTTATATATCGATTATATCTTAAGCAGCTCGTACTCATATTTTTTGTTATGTGTATCTTTCGCAAAACGTGAAAATATTAATTAAAAAATATCGTCGATTGGGAAGTCATCATTATCACACTCGACATTCCTTTCGTATTTTTAGAGTTTTTTGTTTTACTTTATATTCATCGTCTGCCTCGTTTTATAATATTGGATGGAATCGGGAGTGCTCTGTGTGGCTTGCGCGCGTAATTATCGTGTGTCTCGGTTTTTTTTCTCGAACATTTTCGAAACAAAAAAAAAGAAGAACAAACATTCAATAAGAGAGAATGAAAAGTAAGAAGACGAAAACATCGAATTTTTGTAATACTCATTTAGCGGATCGCATCAACAGTCGAGAGTGGCATCGTCATCGCATCGCGTACTTCTCTCTCTCTCTCCGTACTGTTTGCGCATATTTTTGTGTGCATGTGTGCTGTATTATATATGAAAGATCGCGGCGAGAAACGCACACACGTATGTATAGGCGCAATGTCGCGCACATGCGTCATATTAAATGAAAAACACATTTTATCATAAATGAAATGAAAAACAGTATTTTCTATTTTATCAAGGACATACGCAGCAGCAGCAGTACAGCACATAAGTATAGAAAGACATTTGACATTTACGCTTTTGCTATAGATATATATTTTCTGTTGTGTTCAGCGTGTGTGTATGTATATTTCTGCGCGTATATCTGTAATCGTCGTCCACATGCCTCATTATCACGTTGCATCATGCAAATATAAGCTGTAGGAAATGGAGGTTCTCTCTCTCTCTCTGTGGATGATTCACACATACGTATATGTATATACAATATCCGTGACTTCTGAATATAATTATCATTTTCATATGTATATACGCTGCTTTGCCCGGCACACGCACACACACACACACACACACACACACATACACATATACAAACACACACAGCGCAGAGAAGTTTTCTGGCCTGGAGCAAGAATAAAGTAACAAATATATGATCGCGAAAGTCATCCTTCGCGACATTCAAAAGCTCGCCGAGCATCGTCATTGTACACATTTTCCTTCGTTCCAAAGTTTAGCAAATAATCTCTTATATATTCGAATATTTCTCACAAAAATATTATCTTCATCTTCTTGTACCGTCTCGCGATTTCTGTAACTCGACGCAACGTACTATACGTAACGTACACCAACGAACGCGTATGTTATATATTGCCGAAGTGAGAGAGAAGAAAAAAATTTTATACGTACTTGTAAGTACGTTCGATCAACTCACAAAATTAATCATCATCCTCCGTTACTTTTTTTGTCAACACCAATCAAAAGTATCGATTGTAATAATATTTATATAGAAACGAGAAGATATCCGTTACGTAATAAAAAAAAAATCAAAAATTTCAAATAATGTTATAAGAGCGCCTCTTGTTACACAATAACAATAATCGTATACACCTGGACGCGAAATATATTATATTCGTCAAAACATTCCACAGTCGGATAACGAAAGGTGTTATTACATAAATCAGAGATGAGATCCTCTCGTGCATTCACATCATCGTCGATTTAAGAGATAATTTTTATAAATATATTTTAATTATAATATATTTAAAGATAAAAAGTATATACGAAGTATAGTAAAGATATTTTTTTGTTTGTTTTGTTTTGTTTCACGTCTGTGGCAATTTTTTTTTTAATATTTGCGGACATTATGTGTGTTACGCAGCTGGACCAGCTCCACCGCCTGACTCGTCATCCCTTCTCGCGCTTCCAGAGCTTGCGCTCCAGCCTGAGCAGCAGCCGAGCCCAGAGCTTGAAGGGCAGATCCTCCGTGGCGACGTCTTCATCGTTGTTTTCGTCGTCCGCTCGTAAGGCTGAATTATCGTCCTCGAGATCCTCCTCGTACAGATCCTGATACCTCGAGGACGGCTCGATCGTCGTCGCTGGCACGACCATGAAACAGTAGTTACCCCGGCGACGTCTCCGCAACATGATCTGCACCCTCCGTCTTTGCTGCTGCTGCTGCTGCTGCTGCTCAGGACCCACCAATTTTTTCTCTCGGTGCAGGGGTCTCAGTGGTGGCTCCGCTGCTGAGACGACTGCTGCTGATGCGGCTGCTGTTGGCTGCTGACTGCGTTTGAGTGGTGGTGGTGGCCTGTCTGTGTCTGCTGCTGCTGCTGCTGTTGCATGCCTGGCAACTGTCTGCCGGGATTGCTGCTGCCGCCGCCGCTGCTCGACGTGGTATTGGTCGTCGTTGTTGTTGCTGTCGCGGCGCCCGCAGTGGTCGTGGTGCCGCTGTTCAGGGCCAACTTTTGCATCTGCCTGATCACGCTCGTAGCCATGTACGCTTGCTGTTGTTGTTTACCGAGAAAAGAATTCACAAAAAAAAAACCAGACACACGCCGGGCGATTAGTTTTTTATATCTGTTGCCTTTCGACGATGCGAGGAAAATGTTATTTTTTTTTTTTTATGAATAATATTAATGTACAATAAAAAAAAGTAAAAAATATTTTTAACAGTGGGATTTATCCATATTATAATGTTATGTATTTTTAATTGTAATTATTAATATTAATGATTGAATTGAGAAAAAAGAAAAAATTTGTAACAGTGACTTACTCGACACACGTTGATTAAATAATTGTGCGAATGGAGCGATATATGTATCGTCGAACTTTCGCGCTGAACGTATGTATAGCATAAAAAATATCTGAACTAATGACTGAATATGGAGTATATATAATATTATATCAGCTTGAATCAATTATTTATTATATGAGAATAATTGTGAATTATTATTGACAAAAAATAAAATAAAAATGCAAAATCAAGAGAGCGTGAAATACACCCAGTATTGATTGGTGCGCATTGATTAATACAAAATATACGTTTGGCATTATTTATTTAATTTGCGTGCACGCGATGTGGCGCTCGAATAAGTGAAATATGTTATATGTCGATACGTAAGACTAATTTTGACAAAAAGATGGAAGGTATGGGGATTTTAACCCGCAACCAATATAAATGATGTTTCAATTATTGTATTATATATATACACGAGATTTAAATGACAGTTTTTAATTTTCGTATCGTTATTATACGGTGATGTGCGTGAAGTGATATCAACGGGTGGTTGAAATGCGAATGTGTGATTGAGCGATGCATGATAATGTACGCAAAGTATGATTTTTTTTTGTTTGTATTAATAATTACAAGCAAAACACACTACTACTTTAGTGATTTATTTATTTTCAAAATGGGGGGGATCGTGAATCGTTGTTAAACCAGGAGTCAGTGTGTGTTAGTACTAACCTTCCACCTCGACTTGGCGAAGTTCTTTTTTAGTTGTTCCGATACCGTACCGTGGATATTTTTATTGCTGGCTTCATTTCCGCATATCCTGTAACAAATAAACAATGACAAAAAAAAAACAAGAAAAAAAAATAAGCGTACGACGTTTATGTTAAATGAAAAATTGTAATTGGCGCGAGAAACACGCTCTTTGTCGCCTCTATGTAGGTGTGTGTGTGTGTGTGCGTGTAATAGGCAAAGAAGCACAGATACACACAGGCTATTATAGCGGCAGAAGCGACTCCGATATAGTGGAGCGAGAGGACTGGCAAAATCCATTATTCTCCATTATGCACGGTGTACGAGTTTTCCTCGTTTCTCTCTTTCTCTCTCTCTCTCTCTCTCTCTCTGTTCCTTTTTTCTTCCTCACTTACTTTCAGTCCTTCCTCGTCGTTTTTTTTGTTATTCAAATGGAAACACAATGCGACGTCGACACGCAAACGAGACAATTAATCGATAATGACAACGTTTGTATACGTATAGGCTGTGTGTATGTAGACGAGCCGCGCGCGCGAAAAACGACAATGAAAGAGAGAGAGAGAGAGATACATCGCCTAGGCAGTGCGCCGAATGTCAGCTGCCGCCGCGCGGCGATGATGCAATAATATCGTCTAGCATAGTCGCGAGCTTTTTTTTTTTTTTGCTGCCCCGCAAACACACACACGCGCACGTGGATATACAAGGTGAGAATGAAAAGAGGAAGCGAAGGATAGATAGAGAATGAAAAAAAAAAAGAAAAAAAAAAACAAGAAAACAAGAAAACGACGACGATGACTACGCGGACAAAGAAGAACGGAGAAAAGATTGGAAACGCGATTGTTAAAGCGAGTAGTAGTACGTACACATTATTGTGCCTATAATAGCCGAGGGATCGATTGATGTGTGCACCCCACGTAATGACAAACAGATATAGGTATATGATGATGATATCCGCGAACGAGGCGCAGCAGCACCAGCAGCAGCGCGCTTTAATCGAAGGTGTGCGCGCTCGCTTTGGCGCGAAATTGCATTTAAATTCTGCTCTCCGCGCGGTATGTTTTTTCTTCTTCTTCGCTCCACCCCCGCGCCGAGTGAAAATTGCCGTGCGATCGTCGCGAGAGTCGGAGTCGAGTGAGAAGAGACGTCGAAGTTTTCTCTCTCGCTCGCGCCGAGCTTCGCGATCTTTACGTATAGCGCACGTACATACATTCACATGCATTTACATGCGTCTGTCTGTGCAGACGGAACGTCGAGTTTTTCTCTCTCTCTCCGCTCCTACCCGCATTAACTTTGTCATTCGATTACGAAAGTTCGCGATAGTAGCGGACGTTTTTTTTTCTCTCTCCTCGCTCGCTCGCTCGTCGTTTTATTCAAGCGTAACGGGGTAATGCGCGCCGTGTACCTACTACTGCGAGCTGACTTTTTAGCTCGTCAAGCGATGCATTTCGAAAATTAACTTTTTTTGCGCTCTCTCCGTCGCGCTCGCGCTCTCTCCGGTGGCACTTTTTGATATATATCTAACGAATCGTCGTAAAAGCATCGAATCCGATAAACTATTCAGGCTCTCTCTCTCTCTAACTCCAACTCTTCCTCTCTCTCGCTCTTATCGCATCGTTTCTCTATCCCGTTATTATTACACGCCTGGTGCATTAGTGTCCTTATCGCCGAAATGGGTATAAGTGCACGGTGGCGCGCAGAGAGCGTGTGTATATACATAGACAAAAAAAAGTATAGTTAGAGAGATTAAAGTAAGCTTACCAGGGATGTCCCAGGGCTTGCTTGCACGTGTAGCGTTTTTCGACGTCGATGCACATCAGGTGGCTGATGAAGTCCTTGGCCGATTGGCTGATATCGTCCCAGTACGGCGAGTCGAATTCGTACTCACCTGTCGGGCGAAAAAAAAAATATCTCGATGAATTTCAGCTGGGCAATTAAAAATTAACGAGGGGATTAAGCCGAGGGACGATAGGTGTGTACATATACCTTTGAGTATCTGGGCAAACAAGTTGGAGTCGTTTTCGTCGTAGAACGGCGGATAGCCGCACAGCAGGATGTAGGATATGACGCCTATGCTCCAGACGTCGACGGCCTTGCCGTACGGTTTCTGGGCCAGCACCTCGGGAGCTGCAAAAACAAAAAATTAACCACTTATAGCTGCGTGTATAAATCCTTAATTTTAATGTAGATTTAATGGAGAATCGGACTTTAAAATTAGAGCGACCGATACCGAATTCTACTTAAGGTACTTTGGCATTAACTGCATGAATAACGCAAAGTACATAATTCTATATACTCAAATGGAAGATTTCTATTGGAAATTAATGTTAGAATACTGATTATTTATGTAAAATTATTGAAAACTTCAACTTTCTTGAAAATCCAATCGTAATTAATACCAGCCTTCGCCACTAGATGGCGATTACATTTATTCGTAAATCTGCAAGTGGCTAAGTAAGTATAATTCAATATAACTGACGTTGTATATTACAAAGGTAAAAAAACAAGATAAAATTAATAGAAGATGAACATAAAGTGAAGAATTGTTTTGAATGTTACATGATTCCTGATAAAATCATTAAATTTAAAACAAATCACGCGCTGTATTTGAATTGATCTGCCCGATAAAGGAATAAGCTTAGCCCCCCTTTTAAATCGTAACTACATTTTGAACCTGCGTAAAAAATTTATCCATGCAACGATCATAATTTTTAAAAAAGATAAGCCAGAAAAATCCCTTACCGACGTAGCCGGGCGTGCCGCAGGCCGTGGCCATGATGCCCGAGTCCTCCATCTTGGACAGGCCGAAGTCGCTGATCATGATCTTGCTGTCCTCGTCCGGGCTGTAGTAGAGCAGATTCTCGGGCTTGAGGTCGCGATGCACGACGCCCTGCTCGTGCATGTAGTCCACGGCCTCGAGGACCTGCCTGATCAGGCCCGAGGCGTCCTTCTCCGTGTACGAGCCCTTCTCGACGATCCGGTCGAACAGCTCGCCGCCGGTCACTCTGTCACATTCGCGGAATTTACACATTATTATTGTATATAACGAGGACGCGCATCATATGCGACGGATGATGCGCGCGACTTGCGAAATTCATATGGTGGGCTCGCGGCGCGATATGATCTGATCTCGCCTATTGCTGAACGAGAGAAACACGCGCGAAGTAATAGAGAACGAGCCCACGCGCGCGTAAGCGAGCTGTATCATCGTATAAAAGCTTTAGACAAAAAATAACGCTCGTTGTAAAACACTTTTTATGCATACGGCGCTTAAACAAAAAAAAACAAACAAAAAAAGCCTCTCACGGTGGCGGAAGTCCACGCACGCGTATAGATCGTAAAAAAAACCGGCGCGAAAAAAAGGCGCGTACACGCGAAAGATTGTTAAAGTGAAAATGGCTTTTATACGGTCCTCCACTTGAATCCACGTAATACTAGGAGAATTGCCCCGGCGGCTGTTATGATACACAAGAAACGGGCGCGTGTCTGTGTTTTTTTTTTGCGAGATGAGAATTAACGCGCGGCAATCAAAGGTATCTTTATATTCCACCATTCACCGGCGTCGTTATGCAATGCGCGCACACTTGGGATTTGGCACTCGGTCGTCGTCGCCGTAGCCGCGCTGCTGCCTTCGTCTCGTGCATGCGACGTATGCGTGGGCGCGAGTCGATAAATCGCTCAGTATCCCGAGCGTCGAGCGCTAAGTTTTTCATATATATTCGTTTTGATAAAGTGGAAGAAGAAAAAAGTTTGCCGAGCCGCGCGTCGTGTCGGCCACGTGTCTGCGTCTTCTGTTTTTTTCTTCGTGTCTCACGTATATATATTTTACTACTACTATTACTGCTACCAAGCGAGCGAGCATAATACATAAATTTTAATGTTTATTTTTGCACTGCGCGTATGTCGCGCCCGAGTTTGCGAATTTCGGTCGCATTATTCATGCTTCTCTGTTGATGCCTGTCATGATGGTTTTGAAGATTGCGTATTACGGAACGGCTGCTGCTAACATCAATCGCGCGCGCGGCTCATTTGAATTCTGCGCACCCAGTCCCAATGACTTTATTTTTTCGTCTTCGGAACTGCGACGAGTATATTGACAGGATGCGGCAGTTAAGTGGTGTGTTTGGACGCAGAGATAAGAGAGACGATTTCGGACACGGGCCGCACGCGCGCCTCGCGTCAGAGTTCATTGTACACGTTTATGCTTTTGTTCGCGAGGGGCATCGATCGTAAATCTATAACGAAGCTGAAATTCAGATAAGAGCAATCGTAATTTTGAAGAGGCCTAGAAATATCAACGTCGAGAACTCGGAAAAAAAGAGAACTGCGAGCTTTTTTTTGCGCTCGTGCGGATCGTATCGCCGTGTAACATCGCGAAAGTTGTGTGCGTACATCGGCAAAATTCACGTCGATAACATCTTAGCCATAAATTTAGGATTAGGTTACGCGCGCGTGAGGTAACACGAGCGCCACGATAACAAATATTGACGCTGTGATTAATTCATTCGCACGCCTCGAGCCAAACACGAATGAAATTATGGTAATAATAATAATGATAATACTGCGGGTGGGTAAGCGCGAGCGAAAAATCAAAAAATAATCGGAAAATGTATATGCATGTCATAAAAAAAACTGAAGAAGAAGAAGAAGCAGTAGAAAAACTTGACACTTACAACTCCATAACGAGATAAACCTTGTGCTTGTCCTCGAACGTCTCGAGCAGCTGTACTATGTTCGGATGCGTCAGCCTGTAAAATAAGGTATAACATGCATCATATGAATCGTGTCGCTTGTCTCTGTCACAGCATATTTCACAGTTTCGTTATATGTATATATTGCGGAGAGATAGACAGAGAAAATCCCACAACCCAATTTCTGCAGTGTAATACTATGTATGTGCAAAAATATTACCCAAATATATATAATACGTGTATGAAAGCTTTGTCAATTTTGTTTTATAATAAATATCTTCCGATAATTGCCCCAGGCGGGGGTGTAAGAATTTTGTACGAATCGTTCGCAATTATCGCGTGCGTATTATGCTAATATTAAATCGAAACTATGCGCGAGATTTGCGGTAAAATTTCCGATGTGCGGCTCTTTCGATCTTTCGCGATATAACTGCGAACGATCCGTATAATATTCAAGGTATTCGGGATCGTGTGCGATTATTATTAATTTCCAGTGTACTTTGTGCTTGGCTATTATGGCCATAATATATAAATTTCAATGACTTTAACGGAAATTCAGTGGTCGTAAATTTCATTGATATATTACATAATCATCTATGTTATGTGAATAAAATTGACACAAATATAAAGCTTAAGCATATCATATGGAACCATCACCGTGCATTTTCTATATATAATATCGATACAATAGGTGTGTGCGTGCAATAGTCAAAGCTACATGCAAGCGTGCAAAGCTCTCTCGGGCGCCGCGCAAAGCCTTAAATTACAAAGTTGCTTCTATTCCGCAATTACGTAACGTCGTTTGCGTTGGAGAGTAACGGAATTCATTGAAAATTACCTTGGTATTCATCTCTCTCTCTTTTTCGCTACGGTTAGCTCTCCCATCTATTGAAAATTTCTTACTCTGCCAAGCCAAGTTAATTGAAAGATAAGGGGTTAAAATGAATCGATCGATGTGTCAATTACAGCAGTATACAAGCTAGCTTCTGCTGCAGCTGCTGCTGCTGCTGTTGCCGCTGCTGTCGATAATGACACCCGATACGCGAGCGCATAGAAAATAACATAATACAAATCCGCAGAGGAAGGCGTGTCAAGGTTGTTTCGTGTGTCCGTGCGTGCGCGCGTTGTTGTTTTTTTTTCATCCAACATTTTTAGGGGGATTTTTAATTGAAACAATAAGCTCGCCGTGCATCGGAGAGTTTTAGATCCGACTACGCACACGCGTGAAAGCTTTCTTATGTTTCCACGCTCGAGCTTTGTTTATAGTGCGCGGGAACTTAATTTACAAGAACAACGCGCGCGGTGGATATAAAAGCTCAGAGCGCGAGACAATTGGATTTTGAAATTTATTTTTATCCCGCGCACACCTGCGGAGAGATGGGCATGTCGTGACTGTGAAATTTTGCGAAATTCCAGTACGCGGCTACCGCGAAGCGAAAGCTCATTTTTTTTTAATTAACCTTTTCAGGGCTCAGGGTCGTCTAGGTTACACGTGTCTTGTGTTTTTTTTAATCATAGAAAACTACGTATTAAAAAACTACGTATTAAAAAGAGAGAGAAAAAGAGAGTAGGAGAAATCGTATTTATAAAGAAACTAATTATAACGCATGTGATACAAATATACAGCGAAATAAAAAAAAAGGCGCGCAAATGTATATATCGCGCGCACGGAATCCTTCGAGCTTTACAGAGAGCTCGAACTATACCCGGTTAAAATAAAGTAATACGCTAAGAGGTTTCTTTTCATTATGATTATATATTTTTTTTCTTCTACAAAAAGGGATAAATTTCATCACTCTATCCTTGCTTTCTTTTGCCTCCTTTTTTTTTATTTATTTTAAAAATTATGTAGAGCTTGAGAATTTTCACGGACCTGCTTCTTTTTTTATTTTTATTTTCCACTTTCTTTTTTGTAATAGCCCGAGGCATTATGTGGGACGTCAAGTCATCGTCGCGTACAAAAAAGCGTGCACAAAATAAAGGGCGAAAAAGCTTGGTGAGCTTGCTAGAGACTAGTGCTTAATTCGCGCGGGCACGCATATAAATCCAACTCAGAGTTAATTTAACGTAAATCCAGGAGACTCTCGCTGGAGCTGCTGCTCTACCTTTCTCTCTCTCTCTCTCTCTCTCTCTCTCTCTCTCTCTCTCTCTCTCTCTTCTAAAATTAAAAGTTGTAAAATTCACGACAATTGACTCCCTCGCGCGTGAAGAGAGGTAAAAACTGCCACGAAGATGCGAACGAGAGTCCCAGTAAACAAGTTGGCAGAAAAAAGACAAAAAAAAAATAATAAAAAAAGAGAGCAAACGAAAAAAGAAGTGGGACGCATGTGTGTATACTATATACACACACATATGCAACATATACACCTATTTCGAATGAAACGAACTCTCGGGGTTCGCAAGCTCGCGCGCAAGCACACACGTTTGTAGTATATGTATACAGATATGCTATATGCATCAGCAGCAGCAGCAGCAGCGAACGAAGGCCAATGTTTAGAGCTCGAAAATCAAGAGTGAGGTTGACGCGCGCGCGTGCTGTGTATTGCACAGCTGCTGTCGAAGCTCGCGTGGCACGCACACGCACACGATTATTAAATTTTCATTTTCCATCCGAGCTATATAATGTATGTATATAGGCTTCCCCCGTACAACGTGGAAAGCTTGCTGGCGCGGCCGAACATCTGGGCCTGTCAGATCATTTGTAGCTTCTTCGACGAGTGCGGGATTAAAGTGTAACAAGAACCATCCGTTTCTCCTTTTCTTGGCTCATTGAATTGTTGCACTTTTTGATATACTTGTCTGTACTTGTCTTGGCACACCTGTAAGGTTTTTCTGTAATTTCTAAATAAGATTAAGATTAAAGTAAGTGCAATGCCTTAACGGGCGCAAGCACTATAAATATAAAAAAAAATGTATATAGGCGGAGAGAGAGTGAGAGAGATGCCCGGGGATACGTATAACCGAATAGAGGAGCTGCTGGACGCGAGCTTTAATTTCACTTTCACAAAGCTCGCCAGCTATGCACTTGCTTGCACGCGTAAAATAATAATTAGAGGCTGCTGCTACCGTGCCGATTTATATGTACGCTCGCTCGCGCATTTAATCAGGAAAATAATGAAGTCATCCGCGCACGTATGTATAAGATGTAATTTTTGCGCCGCTCCAATTATGCATATATGCACACTGCCCGAGTACACTAAAAAATGATAATTTCTCTGTCGTGTGCATAAATGCATCACCGCGCCGGTATCAGTGTGTATAGGTGAGTACCATTTTTAATCCAAGGTACATGTAATCGAGTGCATCAGCCTGTGCAGCTCCGTATTTGTGTGCGTGTGTGTGTGTAAGTATGGATGCACACGTATACAATGCAAATCAGCTGCTGCTGCTGCCTGAGGAGGGCTTGAACTTGAAAAGTGGCTTGTACCTCGCTCTCTCTCTCTCTCTCTTTTCACCGCGACCTCAAGGATGATCACGCGAGCCCCCGCCGCGTATTAAGCTCGCGTGTGCACGCCGCGTTAATATATTGTGCATAGCTTTAAGGCTCTCTCCTCGAGTAGTAGGCTAAGCTACATGTATATATAACGGGAAAGCTATAATACACAGCCTAAGGTACATACATGATATATAAAGCTTGCGCGAGCGAGCTCGGCTACATATATATACTACCAGAGCCCCCGAACGGGGTATAGTTCTCAAGACGACGTACGCGTGCCGGCATTAATACTCATTTGTCCAAATGTGATTAGCGTCTACTGGTTCGAGGCGCATTAATTTTATGTTCTATATGTGTGTTGGTTATATATGGCGTGCTGCTGATGCTGCTGCAGACGAGCTCGTCTGCGGTTTGTTATCGACTTTTTCGTTATTAATTATCATTGTTATCATTGTTATCATTGTTATCATCGTCGACGTTACACACGCACCACAAGGCGTGCGCGCGTGCGTGTACTCTGCGACTCGCTCCGGAGCTATTCCCCCATATACAGGGTACCCGTTACCTCGCTCGTATACGCGCGCATCATAATGTATACATAACTCGTCGGTTAATGTCAAAGGGATATTATAACTAACTAGCTCACCGCAACGACGACGAGGACGAGCGACGAGCGCAGGGATGCTTACGCGCGAGCGCAAGCTCGCACAAGCCCGCTGCGCGGCCGCATTTGCCACATTGATGAAAGCTCGTTCCCTTATTATATCGTTTGTGCACGTACTACGTCGAAGCGCAAGGTCGTAGTAGGTATAATACATATACTACTATAGGTAGTATATACCTTTGTATAATATATAATACGCGAAATTCCTTCGAGTAAGTCGTCGTGTAATACTACTAAGCTCGAGTCCTAATTTAGTCATCTTTGCGACGAGAGCTTGCAGCAGCTTGCAAGCTCTCGCGGCGGCACAAACGCACTGTACTGCTCGTGTGCACAGCTGCAGCAGCGCTTGTAGTATTACAGCTGCCTGCGCATACAGTTCTCGCAAGGTAATACGATGCGTATAATAAAAAATTGAGAGAGAGAGAGAGAAGGAGGTAGCAATCCGTGCAGCAGCTCATATCTAGACATCGTGCCCAGGCACTTGAGGCACACTCGTATACCCTTTATAATATACACGTGTATACAAGCCAGCCCGTGTGTTTATAAATACCGAGGTCGCTACCGAGTATCTTGACATTAACCTTTTGCGACGCCGCGCCGATATATACACGTACCGCTGCTGTGCTTTTAATACGTATATATAAAAATAAAGGTGTATCGCTAATTGAAAGAAATCGCTAATTGAAAGATCTAACGCGATAGCCGCGGGGTGAGACTAGCCTCTCTCTCTCTATATATATAACTAATAACTAGCTAGAGAGATGGAGTTTGAGAGAGAATTACGAGAGTGAGCGAGTGAGGTCCTTGTTTCCCGTAGCCGAGCTCTGACGTACATAATACACGCAGCAACAGCAGCAGCAGCAGCAGCAAATCGATAGATCTTTATATCTTAATCTCGTGATATATCGTGTCGCCGCCTCCGCCGCGAGTATATACATAGACGCACGCGCTTATGCT